TTTTAAGATTTTTAGAATAATACTTATTTAAAATTTAGTTAAGAAAATCATAATATTATTTTAAGAATAAATTATAAATTTAGGATTCTAATAGTAAAGACGTAAACCAATTCTGAAGGGATAGAGTTGTAAGTGAATTATAAATTTAGAATTAGGGTTAGAGTGTATGATTAAAATGGAAAAATAACTTAGGGAATATAGAGATGTTTTATTTTTATTTTTTAATTAAGTTAATGGAGTTATTACCTTGTAAAATAAGAAAAAGAAAATTTAAAATACTACAAAAAATATATTATATTATTTAATTAAGTTATCTTGTAATTGGATTTCATTTTGTAATCGGGCAGTTCGAATGGTTTGAAGATAAAACCACATATCAAACCAATTATATCGATTTTAAAATTTTATAATTCAAATTAACTCAATTTTATATCGATTTTTCATTGGATTGGATCAAAGGTTTTTAAAATCGGATCGGATCGATCGATTGAACTGGTCAGACCGGTACCGGTAATGAAAACGGTTCGATTTATATAAAAAACCATTTGATGTCAAAATTGGTCAAAATTGGTCAAAATCGGTCAAAATTTGGTCAAAATTGATAAAACCGATGGAATCGATAGAACCAAAAAAACCGTCGGTTCAATTTCTCATGCAATCTTCTTTCTATTTTTTCCAATTTCACCCTCACCATTCCTTTCTTATACCGATTTTAACCCTTAATTTTAATAAAATTACAAAATTACCTGCCCCTCTCATCATATTTCCCTCGTTTGGATCGATCAGTTCATCGGTTCAACCGGTTGAACCGATCAAACAAAAAACCAAACCCTAAAATGGTTCAATAACCAACTCGGTTTTAAAAACCTAGATTAGATCAGTTTAGATTGGATTAATCGAATTGAATCAGACATGAACCCTCCTACTTCAAGTTAAAAAATGTCTCCTATTTGAAATCTTGGTTAAGTGAGATGGCGTTCGGGAAGAGGACTCTTCCTTCTTCTCTTTTCTTTTCCTTTTTTTTTTCTTAAAAAATTTGGAAAAAAGAAAAAAATACAAAATTACAAAAAAAAAAAAGATACAAAAAATATAAAAACCCAAATACAAAATATATATATAGAGATTCATGTTTTATAAAATGAATTGTAAACTAAAAATATAATTTGTTTTTATAAATTTGTTAAAATAAATTTAATAAAATAAAAAAATTATTTAAAATATTTTAATAAATTTATAATGCAAAACTATAATTAATTATATATTCACCTAAATAAAAAAGAGTTCAATTTTTATAATTAAAATCTTAAATTTTATTTTTATAAATCAAAATACAAGTTTTTAAAGAATTTTCTTTAATAACATCTGGACACATTAAAGTAATAATTTTCAATTTAAATTTGCTTAATAAAACATATTTTTGTTTTTCTATATAAGTAAAAAGATTAAAAAATAAAAAGAGATTTTTTAGGTAGAATCCTCAAATTCATCTCTCAAATAGAAAAATAGAGATATATTCACCTTAAATATAGAGATAGATTATTCCTTCAAATTATAAATCAAAATAATTTACTTATTTTTTAATGTGTGACAATAGGTTTCTATTAAAATTACTTACCTAACAAATAAAATTTTGACATCATATATTAAAAAATGAGATATTTATATCTATTTATAATTTGAAGAAATAATTTATTCTTAATTTTTTTTTTAGCAAATATGTCTATATCCTTTTATTTGAAGGGGGATTCGGGAATTTCACTCTTTTTTTTTTTTTTTTCTCGATATACAGGATAATAATAAGTTAGAATAGATTTTCTTCTTCTCTGAATCCTTTTTCACCTGCCATCTTCAAATCTCTATACTCGAATCACAACCTTAAGTCAGCCAATCGGATAAAAATAAAAGGAGAATCCGAGGTTACCACGAGGGACGACGCTGAAAGCCACGGGGCTATGTATGGCGCAGAGCCTCTGCGGAGGAAGGGGCGGTCGGCCAGGAGATTGTGAACTGATATCCATTGCTGTAGAGCAATAACAGATCAAATCAAATACTGAAAATTAGCGGCAACGAAAAAACATGAAACGAGGATACCCAGATTCTCCCTCGAGTTCTGCTGGGCAACCTCAATCCAGATTTAAGCATAACCCAGAAGGTAATTTTAGCTGG